AAAAGTGCTCAGGGAACGAATGGTCTGGCAAGGCTGGAGCACTAGGGCCACGGTAGGGGTGCGGTGGGGGGTACTGGGGCTGGAGCGGTTGGAGGAGCCAGTCTACAATGAGCCTGAATGCCAGGTTGAAGGGCTGGGCTTTGTTCTGAGCCCAGGGATGAGGTCTGATTTGACCACCTGGACAGACCTCTGTGCCTGTGGTGGTGGGGAGAGTGGAAGAGTCAAGCAATGGGCAGGAGCCAGGGAGAAGGCAGGGGTGGGGTCCAGAGTGGCGAGGGACCATGGGTCCTGGGTTAGGCAGTGGCTGTGGGAAAGGAGAGTGATGAACTGAGGTATCACAGTGGGGAGGTAGGACTTGGTGGAAGATCAGCTGTGGGGAGTGAAGGAAGCCGAGGAGTCGTGGGGGCAGGGGTATAGCCGAGAGAGGTGCAGCTCTGCCTATGCGCGTGCCATGGTTGAGGGCTGGGACTGCAAAGGTGTGGTGAGTTCAGCCTTGACCATGAATGAGTTTGGGGTGGCAGGGCTGGGGTGGGGTGTGCGCACCAAGGGAGAGATATTTAGGAGGCTGTGGGCTCTAGGAGAGCCCAGGAGAGGATACGGGCTAGAGCCAGATCTCCAGCTGTCTGGAGACAAGAGCAGAAAGAAGGTAACAGAAGCCACAAGTGGGCAGGCAACTTGCCCAGCGAGAGTGAGATGCCTCTGCCATGTGTACTGTCTGAAGAAAACAGAGCAAAAAGAGGAACCTACCTGGGAACCATGTTCAGGTGCCAAGGTCGGGGGAGGGGACAGTGTCACAGAGGTGCCAAGATGTTTTTGGAAAAACTACCAGCTTCCAGCACAGATACACCCAGAGCCCGAGCCTGGGAAGGGAAATATTCCCAGCAGCAGATATTGGGTAATCCGCCCCTCATAACAAATGACAGATACTTCTTCAGAGGTGCTGGAGTAGAAGGAAGCCTACGTGGCCAACACCTTCCTTGAGCCCTTCTTACCTCTGAGATTGCTCTGTATGCCCTCAGCTTGCAGTTTCCCTCACTGTTTACGTCCCTTGATGAAGCAGTGAGCTCCTCAGGGCAGCACCTGTCCCATCCTGTGTCCTGATGGACCATGTCCCTGCTGAAATCCTCTGGATTAAAAGACTTTGGATTCAAATATTTGCTTTGCCCCATTGGAGCTCTGTGACCTTGGGTAGCGTCGTTAGCCTGTGTCAGTTTCAGTTTCTCTGGGAGCGAGGGAAGAGAGCCCATCTCATGGAGGGTTTGTAGGATTGCAGGAAAATGTCATGCTGGGTGCACTGCCATCCTCAACAGCAGTTGCCCCCTCTGCACCACATGAAAACAGACATCTCAGCCTCAAAAGGTCAAGGCCCCTGGGAACCGCACCTGTCTCATCTACCCACCCCTAGCAAACAGTATTCTCGGGCTCCATCGATGCTTGCCCTTCCCCAAATTCATCCTATGCTTTTCACCCCTCTGCCTTTGCACACGCTGCACCCTTGGCCTGGATTGTCCTTCCTCCCCAGCAAAGCATTTCTCATCTTGCAAGGCCTGGTCCAGGTTAAGTTGAACCAAGCTAAGCTGAGGGAGAAGACAGGACTGGAGCATGGGAATGTGGGAGGAGGGGTCCAGGTTGGGGCTGGGGAGGAGTGGGAGCCCTGGAGGCACAAAGGGCTTGGCTGTCATCTTTGGGAAATTCCTCCTCCCAGGGCTTTGGGTGGTCTGTTGGGATGACAATAGCATGCTTGAGGTCCAGCTTTTATAGGCCTCCCAGCTGTTGCTTCTTGAGGGAGATAGTGCAGGGTGGGGGAGGAGGCCAAGCACTTTCTGGTGGTTTCCAAGCTGGGTCAGGCACCCTGTGCTGGGACTTTCTGTTCCCAGTTCCAGCCCTGGCTATCGCATCTAGACCTAAGATGACCTTAAAAATAGTGAGGAGGGCCTTGGGGGAAGGGTGAGCCCAGAGCCCACAGGGAATTCAGGTCAGTCTCCTTCTGCCTAGAACACGGAGCCTGAGGCTCAGAGAGTGGCCATTGGCTTTGGCCATGCCACCTCCCCTGATCATGAGCCCCAGCTCCTCTCTCTGTGCTTACGTTTACTCCCTGGGGCCCTATTATAGCCAACCTCACTCCATATCACGAGGCTCCAGTCCTCTTTACAAACAGGTTGGAGGGAAGGAAGGAATGTCATGGGGGGAGGCATGGAGTGGAGGGAGGACAGCTTAGACACTGAGACTTTCCCAAATCCTTGCATTTGCCAAGCCTGTGCTGAGATCTGGGGCCCCAAGAATGGATCAAATCTGGCCCCACCTCTAGGGAGCTCCGGGTCTGGTGAGGCGGCCATTGTTCTCCATCCTTTCCAGCATGAAGGCTTGGGGCTCTGGGCTGCAACCCCTGAGGGATGGCAGGGACCAAACTTCTTTACTTTTTCCTGACCCCCAGTGCAGCTGAAGTTCAAGCTGACATGCTGGAGATAGCCAAGCCCCCTTAACACCGATGGGGAGCTCCGACCCTTCCTCTACAGAGGGCTTTGCTGCACTGCTCCTTCCAGAGACAGAAGACTGAGCATCTCAGGAAGAGACCAGATGACCACCTCGGCCCTCCATCCACCACACAGAGAAAGTGAGTCCCAGGAAGGGACAAATGCAGACGGGGACAAATGCAAACAAATGCCTGGCCCCTGACTGTAGGGTCCAGGCAAGCTTCCCATCTGGTTCACAGCTGCCTGAGCTCTGGCCTAAGAGGCAAGGCCTAACCTGGGAGGAAATAACTACCCCCCAACCCTGCCCACTCCCTAGTTACTAGCACCCAGAGAATAGTTTGCTTTGTCTAGAAGCAGTGGAGAAGTGCCCGAGTGGGTGGAGTCTCCCTAGTGTGGGGTCTGCGGAAGAGAGAAGGGAGTCCTGAGGGCAATGACAGAGAGAGGAAAGAGCTTTGGCATCAGGACGACCTGGGTTCTGGCCCCCATTCTGCTGCTCCCTTGCTGGGTGACCTGGGGTGAGTCACTTGCCCTCTCTGAGCATCTGTTTCCTCAACTATTAAACAGGGTGAGAGTATGTCACTGAGTTCTCATAAAGCCAGTGATGTGGAGCTCAAATTTTAACCCAGGGCTGCTAGTTCTCTCCTTTGTGTGATGTATCTGCACCAGATCAATGCACTTTGAACCCAAGACAGCTAAAAAGCAACAGAAACAATATGAGGAACAAGAAAGAATCATCCTTGAAGAAGAGAAGTCAAGCAGCATACGTGAGACAGGTTACTTCTAGCTGGAGAATCAGTCTGGAAGGCTTCCTGGAGGAGGTGATGTTTGGAGAAGTTGGCAAATGGCAAATTTCACCAGAATCGGTAAAGAAACGAGGGCAGATACCTCCCTGGTAGAGAGGTAAAAGCTGTGAGCAAAGAGACAGAGGTAGCAAAGAGGCTTTTCTGAAATCACAAAAGGAATGGCCTTGGGAGATCCTTTTCTCCAACTCCTCCCCCACAGACAGGGAAATCTGCCTGTGGCCTAAGGGCACGTGGTGAGTTGGTGGAAGGCCTGGGCTGAGAGCCAGATCTGACCCTGATTCCTCTCTCTGCTGCCTGCCCCTGGCTAGGACCGCTGACCCCTCTCCCTCACATCAGCTGGCCCCTGCTCTTTTCCCAGGCTCCAGGCTCTGTGCCCTGCCCCACCTGCATTCCCACAACCCTCAGATGTCCTCAGACCAGGAAGAGCTTGGGGGAAGCCAGGCCTCAGCTCAGGGTGGGGCCTGAAGCAAAGCCAGAGGCGGCTCCTGGTGGCCCAGCAGGCAGATGCTGGGATTGGCCTTCTGCTGTATGTGCCAGAGGTGGGGACGGCTGGAGAACAGTCAAGACCTGAGCCCTGCAGGAGTCCAAATAACGGTGGGGCGAGGGGGTCAAGTACGATACAGCCAAAGTCACTAGTTTCTTCCCATACCTGTAGGGTCACCCACCCTCCCCTCCTGCAGCCAGCCAAGGCTGATGTGGAATTAAGGCTGTCAATGGCCCATCTCCAAACCAGCCCGCCCAAGTCTGACCTCATTGTCATCTCTCTGGCGAGGTCCCCAAAGGAAACATCCACCCCGCCCTTCCTGCCACGCCAGGGTACCCAGGCTGCATCAGCCTGCCCACGAAGCCCTCCGTGTCGCCCGCACAAGCCAGGGAACAGGTTCACTCCTGCCTGAGTGGGCGTGAGGTTAACACAGCCGCGGAGGACAGACAGCTGGAAGGAGGCCGGAGGTGATCACTGCAGGGCACCCTGACTGAAGACCCTTTGTTTTCTTCCCACCTCCCTCCTCTGTCCAAGAAATGCTCAGCGGGGGACCCCATTCCCAGAACCGCCGCCCTCTCCACGTGGCGCGTGTCACACTCCAGGCTGGGCTCTGCAAGTCTCCCTCTGAATCCCTTTCTCTTCTGTGCTGAGCTTTCGGCTTCTTTGTGGCGGGTCTGCCTGTCTCTCTTCTCTCTGTCTCTGTCTGCTTCTCTTCATTTCTCCATCTCTTCTGCAGCCTTCTCTCTGGGGCGGACCTCCTTCCCTGTCCCTGCACACTCCTGCAGACACCTGTCGGCCTTTGTCTTCTCTGGCCCACCCTTTGTCTGACTGCGTATCTCTGGACTTGTTCTGTCTCTGACTCCACTTGCAACCGTATCTTTCTCTGCCTTGTCTGTCTTTATCTCTGCCTGCTTCAGAGAGAAAGCAGGGCTCCGCGAGGGGCTCTCCAGTGGCCTGAATTTCCATTGTCCTCCCAGTGTCTCTGTCATGGAAGGTAGGTTGGGTTCCCCGCCTCCCACTGAGTAAATAGGATCCCTTCCTGCTCCTTCCATCAGTCACTCATTCATTTAACACACTTTCTCTAGGTCTGGCCTTATGGCTGGCTCTGTGTGGGGAACTGTGAGGCCCCCCCACCACTCCATCCCAGTGGGCTCCCTAGCCTCCTCACCCTCCAACACTGGGAACATGGCCCGCAGCCTCCCTCCCAATGCCCCTTCCTTAATTTCATCCAAGACTTACCTATCCTGGGTCCCATGATTTTTGGGGTGCAGTGAGTTCCAACCCCTATTTCAAGGTCAAAAGTGGGGCTGAGCAGGAGAGAGAGTGAGACCTTATCAGGGGCCCCTGGAGATAGCCGCCGTGAGCCACAGAAGGGAGGCAGTAATGTAGAGACTCTGGCACGTGGCCGGTGCTTCTCGGGCCACACTGGACAGCAGCCGCCTCTTCTGAGATGGATAGGAATTCCCGTAAAACTTGACTCCACTCTCCCAGTGCCTGCCTCATCCAGTTACTTGTTCCTTCTGTCTGCCTCTCTCTGAATTCCTCTGATTTTCGGCTGGGACAGCCCAGGGCCAGAGTGGTGCAGGAGGCTGGGTTTCATTTCCACCCAGCCCCGCTGCTGGGAGGAGGCTCCTGTGGTCTCCTCCCCTTCAAGCCTCTGTCCACGTTCCCCTGAATATTTTCTCTTCCTCTGTCAGCAGTAAAGAGGTAGCAGGCAGAGGGAATGTGGACGGTCCCCAAGCCCTGGTCTCATTTCAGTCCCGATTCTCCAGTCTCCTCTTGCACTCCCATTCTCAATCTGTCCCCCACCAAGCTCTTGTCCCCCATTTCAGAAATTCTGTCACCCTCCATGAGCCCCATAGAGAGCCCCTGCCCCTCCAGGGTCCCCCTTCCCAGAATCCCTGGCCCCCTCTCACTAAACCCCATCTCCTCTCTGAGCTCCGAGGATCCAGAGCAAGGAGTAAGTCCATTCACCAGGATTCACAATGGCCAGCCTGGCTCGAGGGACTTCTGGCAACAGTTCTATAAAGTGGAGCTCCATCTCAGCAGAAGGGGTTGGTGAGCAGGAAGGCAAATCTGAAATTTCAAGAGTTTTCTGGACTGAAGGCTGAGGATGGAGGCCTTAGAGCCAGACAGACCTTGGTCTCATTTCAGCTGGCTCCGTGGTCTCAGACAAGTTTCTGCATCTCTGAGAATCATTTCCCTCATCCATAAAGAAGGGAGAGCTGGCCCCTCACTTGCAAGGCTGCTGGGCAAGTTCAGCGAGCAAGGAAAAAGCCAAGCCTGAAGGCCTGGACCTCAGAGAAGGAAGCCACAGAGGCAGGGCTCAGATCAGGACAGCAAGAGGAAACACACTGACAAGTTCGCCTTTTCCAGCTGGTTCAGCACTCTCACACTGGAGGCCCCCTGGGTCCTCCCATCAGCCCTGTGGGCCATGTATTTATTCCTCCATTTTACAGATGAGGCACTGAGTCTCAGTAACTGCTCCGAGATCACCCAGTCAGTAGAAGGTGGGGCCATGAGGTTCAAGAACCTCCTATGCTGGACCCAGGCCTTTTCCTCCATCCAGGCTGCATTTTCCGAAGGAGACCTCCAGGTTTCCTGAAATCCAAGATACAGAAGTGAACTTGACCCAGTTCCAGGAATAGGGTCTTTGCATGAAATAGGGATGTGGATTTCAAACCCAGCTTTCAGGGTGCAGTGATAAAAGAAATATACATGGACCCCGCTTGGCTCCTGGGGGCCGTATGAGGGAGCAAGTGGGAAGCAGGGAGTCTTTGAAATAATCAGTGTGCATCCTGGCACATAGTAGCGCCCAATAGATACACGTTGCCTGGCTGTCTTTGAGAAACCAGAAATGTGAATGCGTGACCCCCATTCTAGGGAAGGTCAATAATTGGCTCAGACTGATATAAAGACCAGGTCCTGCTCCTGCTCGAGAAAACCAAGAGGTGGCCCCTTCAGACTTCAAATTGCAGGTGCCTGGTTAAGAAGGAGAAGGTCCCTTGAGGCTTTCTGGAAGTTCAGTTGCCTCCATCTTGGTTTCAGAGGCTGAAAATGTTCTATACATGGATTGGTCTGGGTACCTGCTGCGCCCAGCTTGGCTGGCTAAGTTCATCTCATCAATCTTTGAGTGAAACAGTGCACAATGCCCCACGAGGCGTGGAACATACAATAACCTCAGGCATGAGCGCTCTTCCTTTACCAGCTGTTGGCAAAGCCCCTCATGGCTTGCAGAGTTTCTGAGACCCTGTGATGTGTGCACAGTCTTTCGTCTCATGCAGAGCCTGATGCTGTCCGTAAAACCTTGGGCTGTTTGCAGAACCCAGGCCCTTCCCTTCTTTAAGTTAACCCATGGAGGGCATTTGCGCACCCAGAAAAATAGGACACTCTTCATTTTATAGAACTATCTGAATTGGGGTGTAACAGAATAGTGCCAAGCCCCAGACTGGAGAACTTAATTCTGGTCCCAGCTCTGTCACTAACCAGCTATGGGACTGCAACAAGTCCTTTCTCCTCTCTGAGTCTCAGTCTCCTCATCTGTTAAATGGAGATCATGACGTCAAACCGCCCACCTTCAGGACCGTCATGAGTGTCACTGTGAGAATGTCCAGAAGATGGGGAGGCAGGGGTGGGAAGGGGAAGAGTAGCCAGAGGCTCCTTCCTGAAAAAGTCTCCGAACTGCCGTCTCAGCACCTTTGCTCCCACTTCCCTTCAGCCTGGCAGCCAAGGAGCGGATGTCTATAAATGAGACCTTGGCTGAGCAGACAAGTGAGGAGCTTGGTCAGAGTTTCAGCCTTCCCCACCCCCCAGACGCTGCCTGGGGTCAGAACCCAAGCTACACAGACATGCTCCCATGCATGGCTCATTTGATCTGCTCACAGAGGGCTGTGTCATACTTTTTTCACCCATGTGGACCCTGACACTCAGAGAGAGAGCCCATGTGACTTGCCCAGAGCCACAAGTCAAATAAACAGCAGGGGCCGGGATCTGCGCCAAGGACAGCAAAGCTGGACGCATGGTACCTAGGAGGTCTGAGCAGGAAGGAACCTGGAGCACGTTTAATTCAATCCTCCCCTTTTCCCAACTGGGAGACTGAGGCCTAGCGAAACAACAACGACAGCACTGACTCTCCTTAGGCTTCAGTTTCTCTCTCTGGTGGATGAGAAACAGACCCCAGCCTGCCAAGGCTTTAGGACCTCATCCCTCTTTGTTGACACCACTCTTGGATCAAGACACAGGAAATTTCCCAAGCATGTGAGGAGAAGCACAGGCCTGCAGGAAGGTGGGTACACAGCCTGGCCCTCAGCCTGGCCCACCTTGGCTGAGCACGGCCTCTCTCTTCTCCAGCCCACCCAGCCTTGCATAGCCTGTGCTGTGCTCTTTCTTACTCTCCCCCTGGAGGTTCCTCCTTGGGAAGCCCTTTTGCCCCAACGGGTCCAACAGCATCCACCTCCCACCAGGTTCCCCCTCCAGGCTGCAGAGAATAGGTACTCTGCTAGAAATTCTACATCCCTCCCTCAAAGTGGCAGCCCAGGCCCCAAAAAGCATGAGCAGGGGCATCAGACGGGTCAATTTTGACCCAGTAAGAAAATCACTGAGACTTGATCTTCTCATCTAGTAAATTCAGGATAACAGGATCCCTCCAGGCAAAGCCACAACAAACCCCAAACATCTCCCCTGCCCTATCTTCAACTTGGTATGTGCATAGCTTCCCTCTCTCAGGAGATTGTAATCTCTTCCAAGGCCTAGCTGGGTGACCTGGGGCTAGTCACTTGCCCTCTCTGATCTTCACTGTCCTTGTCTGTGAAATACCATCTCAATGCTGTCATACGGCTCAGATGAGCTAATGGATGGATTAGTGCTTGCTAAGTTCTTAGAGCTGAGCAGACACGAGCCATTATTAATAGGGTGACGATGGTAATCGAGTGACTTATAATTCTGCAAGCAGAGGATGAGGAGGAAGTAAATTGTGGCAGGTACGTGCCAGGTCAGTCTGACCTGACAACTCTTGGGAATAAATCACCAAGAAGGCCCCCTGAGGTGGGAGGGAGCTCAAGGGGAAAAAAGGAATCTGTAAGCTAGCTGGGTGAGCCTTGTTAGCAGTTGTCTTACTACGGACACTGCGGGGCTATGCCCTCTCCCAGGGTCCAGACTGGGTGCTGGCTGGCCCGTGGCTCCCAGCCCTGGCTCTGCCACCAACACGCTGACATTGGTCAAATCCCATTTCCTGCCCGGTCCTCAGTGTGCTTATAAAAAAGTGGTCGGGGATAAAAGGAAGGGTCAGTGTCATTCTGCTCCACCCCAGTCTTTGGGGAAGAACCCTGTGAGCTAATGGATGTACCACTGCTTTTGTAAAGTGCCAGGTGTGGGACATGAAGGATGATGGTTATTAATAATTTGGATCGTGGGAGAGAAAACAGGGGTTGGGGGGTTGGGGGGGATGCAGCAAAGGCTGGGAGAGGAGAGGGAGCTCACACCAGCAAGGGCTCCAACTCTCAGAAGACTTTGCAACACTGCCCCCTAGGGGCCAGAGAGGAGGTCTGTGCCGGGGCTTTTCCTCCCAGACTCTTGCAGTCAGGGAAAGGGGACAGAGGCCCACTGTCCAAGGAGGCTGAAGCAGACAGGCCAGGGGGAGCCCAGGGAGAGCAGTCACAGGCGGCCCCTGACTCTGCACACTTGCCTATGTGCTCCACAAGTCTTTCAAGCTGGCCCAGTTCTTTCCATCCTGCCATCCCCGCCTTGGTCCAGACCACCAGCCGCCCTCGCCTGGGGCCTGCCCCAGCCTCCCCACCACCTCCAGTCCCCAGTGCCCTCAGGAGCAAGTGCCTCTGTCCCTCAGATCAGTATCTCCGCTTGCAAATGAGACAAAATAGCAGATGGTCAAGGACAACGCTTTGGGGCTGGACTGCTGGGTGGGACTCCTGGCTTTTCCAGTTGGTAGCTATGTTACTTCTCCGCTTGTTTGTAAGTATTTAAATAGACATAGCATACAATTTACCCTCTTAACCATTGTCCGTGTGCCATCCAGGGGCATTTAGGGCATCCCCCTGTTTGTGCAACCACGACCCCGTCTCCACAGCTGTTCCGCCTTCCCAAACACAAACTCCATAACCATGTGCTCCTTAATTCTTTTTTTTTTTTAATTTTATTTATTTGACAGACAGAGATCACAAGTAGGCACAGAGGCAGGCAGAGAGAGAGGGGGAAGCAGGTTCCCTGCTGAGCAGAGAGCCCAATGTGGGGCTTAATCCCAGGACCCTGGGATCATAACCCAAGCCAAAGGCAGAGGCTTTAACCCACTGAGCCACCCAGGTGCCCCCATGTGCTCCTTAATTCTTGATGCCTCTGTGTTCTCATCTGTAGGATGGGGCTCATAAGCGGCTGTCCTCACACAGTGCCTGGTGGGTGGGTAACAGCTGCTCCATCGATGTTACTAGGATTTTCTTCTCTTGAGGAAAGCGCTCTGGAGGGCACATGAGGAGCACGGCTCGTGCAAGCTACAGAAATCCGAGGGCCCGTTCCTCCCTGGGCTTCATTTCTGGGACTTGGGCAGAGTTTATGACAGCTGCTGGGGAAGCATA